GTTATAAAAACCTTCAAAATTTATCGCTGTAAGCTTTTAAAATGATAATACTAAAGGTTAGTTAAGAAGAATTTTTTCTTTCAGCTCTACACTAAACTAGCCCTTAGTCGATAATGGTATCGAATCGACCTATAATGTGTCAGACTTTTCTTTTGCCCCAGCAGTCCTGTGGAACACTCTCCTGAGGTGTGGCCACTAAGTCACCGACAGATGAGAACGTTTAAATATTCACAGTGCCGAGATAAACACCAACATAAACTTTAAGGACTAGTGTGAGAATTCTGAGTGTCATGGTACCGAGTGTCATGATTAGACTTTGCGGGGATATAACGTCCTGTTGTTAGGCAGATAAGTACCAGCGTTTCGGAGACATCTGCTGCAGTCTGCTCCTCACAAGAGTCAGCATTGTTCTGTCAGATTACATGACGTAACAGGACACAAGGCAGTCATTTTTAGGGGACAACTTAACATTTTCATGTAGGATTCGAGGTCATCATAGCCGTGGTTATGATGAGTACTGTCTTCTGGTACATAAATGCCGTGTAGTGCATTGAAAGTCAACCGACGTTTCGGAAGAACATATCGGTTCCACTTTCAGGATCAAAGAGTAAGCCAAGCAAGAAACAAGCATGACTACAGGTGGAAAGCAGGGGGCACAACTTGCTACTTGCTGTCACTCTGGTTCCTTGCCGTGTTATTCCTCGAACCTGATGATGGAAGCGATGTATTGCTCCGAAATATCGGATGACTTCCAATAGACTACACAGTATGATATTCCAGAAAATGGACCTATTCCCTGCAACTTTCAATTTCCTTAAAATATTTTCATGTCCAGTAAAACAAAATGAATTACGTATATTATTATTATCCTCTGTAATTCTATATTATTCATTTCTTAATTAAATATTTATGTTTCATTCCTGAATTCGTAATAACACTTAGTTTAATGATAATGAAATTATTATTACTGTCATAATTATCAGCTATTTGTTTGTTTACTTTTACTTTATTCATTATTATTTCTTCCAAGTGTTAACCTGTAATTTGTATTTGACTTTTAATAAGTTTGTGTATAATGTAATTCATTCTTCTGCACTGTGCTGTGTCTGTAATTGGCCTTGCGGCTGTTGACTCGGCACATTAATAATAAAGAATTGAATTGAATTGAATTTTTATATACAGAATTGAAGAAGTCCTGAATTGTATAAACTATTAATGAGACTTTATAAAAACTCCGGTTGCTATAGATTTCCTATAGGAGCAGGAATAGCACAATCGGCATAGCAGGTTCAAGAGATTTTTCTCTTTTCCATACCATCCAGATCGGTTCTGGGGCCCACCCAGCTCTCTATCAAATATGTACTGGGACTCTTTCCCCGGGAATAAAGCAGAAGGGGCATGAAGCTGGCCACATGCCTTTAGCTATTGCCGAGGTCAATAATGATACAGCTATTTCTCCATTCCCCCAAACGTATTTAAGGTATTGTGTTCAATTAATTAAACACAGGAGCAACTGTACCATTTCAAATACCTTAGAATTGTCAAATATTACGATCTCTATCCGTAATTTGTAACCATTAAACTTCTGCGATATAAGGCTATTATCCATCTTTGCACGAAATTTCAGATACGCAGGTAAAATAATTTACCAGATATATTTCTAAAATAAAAAATTAAGTTTTAGATTTTCTGTTTTAGGCAGTGTGTACAAAAAAAAATATTTACCAAAAATACAAATAACAAAGCTTGCGACCCGGCGAGCTCTAGAAAAATACTTCAAATTCTACACTTATTATTGTGTCGAATGAAGGATGTCTTTTCAGGAGGAATTAATGTTGATGATAAGGAGCGGTCTAGTGTCAATCTGCTATTGAATATATTTGTCAAGAACTTGGCACTTCAGATCTCCTGGAGATGGCTCAGGGGCTGAAATACTGGGCTCTTTAAATTTTCTTTTGCTGCATTTACTACAACAAAATATGTTTTGTGTCCACAGAGTTTTGGAAGTCCATTAAACATGGCCCAATCCATCGTAGTCTACTGTTCATTCCTAGTACAACTCTATGCCTACTGCTGGTTTGGGAGCGAGCTCACGCGACTGGTAAACGACTAATGATTATCCCAGTTTTAATAACGTAAATACAAATTACTGAATTCGAATCTGGACGCAAAGACAAAATGTTTCAGGCAGAGAGTGTGAGGGATGCGGCATGGAGATGTGATTGGGTGGGGATGCCTGTCCCTTTCCAGCGCTGCCTCGTTTTCATCACCGCCATGGCCAGCAAGGAGTTTACCCTCACAGCTGGGAAATTCGTTCCAGTGTCCAGGACCACAATGCTTAATGTAAGGACCCTGTATTCTTTCCTTTTGTGATGTTTAGTGGGACAATCGTGTATGCCCATCTTTTCGCATATTTCATCAGAAAGTAAGCAATAAATATCAATAAAATCTTCATATTTCAAATCAGATATCTCCACTGCAACTTAAATTATGGAATTTATATCCATCCAAAAAAGACTCGTGAACCTATAATTTCACTCAGCCCGGTGTGTTTCAATTCTTCGAGCAATATCAAGGCCATATATTAACGCAATTAAATGAGCTATTGCGGGTTTCACATTATAAAAACAAAACTGTATTTATGTACAGTTGAAAAATTACATATTAATTAGTTTATAATTAACATAGCTTACGTTTACGTAACTTATATTATTAACGTTAAAGTGGCTCATAAATTTCTCGTATCGGATGTATTCGTATGTTCGAATATATGCTTATATGTCCAGCATAATCATATTAAGTGCCTAAAATATAAATATTATACTTCCTGATCCTTAATGTGGCATGTAATACAATTTTTGTATTGTGACACATGGGCCGTTTCTAGGCAACGGCTAGGTAAACACTACCTACAAAGTTGGAATAGCAACGAACAAGCAGAAGTTAATTTCTAGGAAATCAGGTCTGTAAACACATCCCCGCAACAGAGCGGTAAACAAGCTTCATCAACAACAGAGGCCGTGTTTTCTGTGTGGTCCATGCGGATTCTGTATAACGGCAGCCTGTAACTAGGATTAGATCATACCCATGTCGAGGCAGGGCCGAATACCTTCACCGTAGCCTTGCGAGTCGTAGGAGGCAACGAAAAGAGTTGTCTCAAATCTGAGAGAGTAATATATGGTCGCGAGTGCCGAGGGACTCGGACCCGAGAAAGACTGCCCTGGCAAGGACCAGCAGCATATACAAAAGGCAGACCCGTCCTCTCGTCAGAGAGGGCGCCGCACAAAAAAGAAGAACGTGACTGTCAAACAGTAATAAATATCTGTTCATCAACTTACTGAGTGATTGATCGTCATTCGCAACGTGACTTTGAGTTTCTGTATCAGATCAGAGTCGAGAGGAGAGAACTTGAGCAGAGAGTTGTCGGTGAGATATAGCTGCAGGAAGTTAGTCTATGAAGAAGAATTGGAAATCAGCCTCAGAAGACGTAGCGTGTAACTTTACATGTGTTATACTTAGAGTAATTTGTGAGTGTTGTAATTATTTGTAGTTACGACTTGTGAATATCTATTAAATCGACTCACCAAACTATACCCCGTCTACAAGTCACTAAAACACGTGNCGTCCTCTCGTCAGAGAGGGCGCCGCACAAAAAAGAAGAACGTGACTGTCAAACAGTAATAAATATCTGTTCATCAACTTACTGAGTGATTGATCGTCATTCGCAACGTGACTTTGAGTTTCTGTATCAGATCAGAGTCGAGAGGAGAGAACTTGAGCAGAGAGTTGTCGGTGAGATATAGCTGCAGGAAGTTAGTCTATGAAGAAGAATTGGGAATCAACCTGAGAAGACGTAGCGTGTAACTTTACATGTGTTATACTTACAGTAATCTTGTGAGTGTTGTAATTATTTGTAGTTACGACTTGTGAATATCTAGTAAATCGACTCACCAAACTATACCCCGTCTACAAGTCACTAAAACACGTGCTAATATTAATGTCTAATGAATAAAATGATCAATGCAAATGATGCTCGGAGATGGCCTCACGTGGATACGCACTACATTACAGTCTGCAGTCACCAGCTCACGCCGGTTCCTCGCTTGCGGATTTCTTATACCCTGAAGATGGAGGCGATACGTTCCTCATAAACGTCCGTTTACACAAGATCTACACGGCGCCATATCCCAGAAGAGAGAATTCTTCATAGTCACCGTCGTGAAAGCCTCAAATCTTACATAATTTATCACTAATAATATGATAATTTGAAATCAAAATAACTTATTTCTAAAACATTTCATAAGTGAAATTTTAAAATAACTGAAATCCAATTATTTTTTATACATGGTATAATTGCTTAGCAGTTGTGTAACTCGTGCCTCTTATTTATTGATTCATGACTGTTGTGCTGGATTGTTATGAAAACTCCCAGTTAAATTATAACACAGTGGTAGGATTGAACATCTGGAGATATCTCTGGCAATTCAAGCTAAAATTGTACATCGATCTGTAAACACAGAACGAAAGCCATTAATTGTTAATGTAGATATTTGCATCAAGACATATGTTAATACAAAAGAAAATATGTAAACCCATTCTATAACGTACGTAATATATTAATGGTGTTGCATGAGGTAATTGCAACAAAATGCGACAATGGATCGCTGTACACGTTTGCCGCAAGTAGTTCAACTTGTACATGAACACTATCATCTCTGCCGTCACTTGTCATCATGTTCATGAAACATACTCCTACTCATGTAGAAATGGTTTTTCTATAAACTTGTAATTTTATTTTACTTTATTTTTTCTTTAATGGACGTTGTGACCGAATTGCGAAAAATCGAAGCAGAGCCTTTAGTGTTACACAGAAAGGGGGTACTTCTAACAGAGGAATAACTCGGTGAAAAACTAAAAGGCAATTTGATACTGGGTTGATTTATCGAAATGAGCAGAATATGCGCAGGCGCAGTGTCTTCAGTAAGGCAGAACGCAATGAACATGAATTCAGTAGGACAGCAACAACATACCAACAGAGAGAGAGAGAGAGAGACCGTGCCTATAAAAGATGAATGGGTAAGTTATCATTTTGAGAATTAACGCGTTTATTTTCACAAAAACGTAGAGAGTAAATCAAAATTTGCCTATTTAAGAGCTAGGTTTACATTACTACAAAGCAATTAAATGTTTAAAAGTGTAAGTACTGTAATTTTTTATACTTAACATGGGACAGAATATAATATCATACACCATGATAGCATTAGGCATTAGCTAATCATCAGAGAATGAGGTTTCGTGATCTCTTAATGTAGATCGGGATTATGAAATCGATAACTCAGATATTTACTCTGTGTGTGTGTATATATATATATATATATATGAATGTCTGAAAATTCGTGTTTTATAATAATTTTATAAAAGTTATTTTTACAGCAATAGTAGGAACGATTTTGCGTGTGATATTATTTAAATTATAACTATTTTTTTTGCATAATATATTCGAATACTTTACAATACGCAATCTGTGATTGCATATCACGTGTCCTCGATAGTGATCATATAATTGAACAGTGGTTGAATGGAGGCAGAGAATCACAAGTAGTGTATTTCGGTGTTTAAAAATTTGACAAATTAATTGCCAATGAAATTTTGCGTGGGAATTCTATAGTTCATGTTGCTCTCGGTATTAAGGCGCCGCGTCTTGAAGTGTAGGCTAATACTGAGAATAGACTTAAAGCTCCAATTACTACAATTATTTTGTTTCTGAACATTAACCATCGTGGAGTTTTTCATTTAAAACAACGTTTCGGAGACTGGATTCTGTCTTCGTCATCAGGTAAAAGCCTACTCAGTGATAGACCTACGTGTTATCTCCGGACAAAAGCACCAGTACAGATACATAAACCAAGCAAATCATAAACCATTTCCGAGAGTTAAGATAGACATTAATAACATTAACAAAAGCTCAACACACATGAGACCTAGCACATATGTCCATACACTATTTCACTGCTATTGCTGTTAAAATCAGAGTACTATCAGAATAGTAATCATCAATAAAGAGGCGAAGTCTCTGTATGGTGTCAACATAAAAAAAACAGTTTTCAAACATAATCTAAATGGACGGGATTGTAGTCCTCTGATTTCTGCTGCAATAATTGGAGTCCAGATGGAAGACTGATCGGATGATCTACCAGAGCCATGTGGGCAGATTCCTTGTATTTCCATGAATTTTCCTGATGACGCAGACAGAATCAAGTCTCCGAAATGTATGTGTAGTATTTTAAACAAACACAAAACGATGGATAATGAACAGAAACACAATAATTAAATTAACATATCATATTCACAAAATTTTAGATCTTATCTCTAATTTCTATTTCATTAAGCTTATTTTGACTGCGTCACGTTCGGGGCTATTACGAATCTAATTTCGGCCAACCAGCACACAGAAAATCGCTTTATTGGTTCAGACATCTCGAAGTAAAACTGAATGTTTGTTTGCCCTCAGGTCATCAACCAGACCGTCTCGTATGTCATGTTCCTCATGCAAGTAAGGAATAGAAATTAATCTTCTAAGAATAGTGGTTCTGCATATCGTGCAGCCGGAGGGAGTGGATTTCTCAACCTTCAATAGTCTACATTTCGATAAATACGTGTTGTTGAGAGCCAGGTAGAAATAGTGATATATTCTATCTTTCAGCATAAGATATTATATATGACAATATAACCTTACGCACCCTATGGAAGCTCGCAATTGACACGATCCTAAGTGGTTTTCATTTACCTCCCTTTCACACAACCAGTTTCCATAAGATTTATCTGAGTCTGTCTCTCAGTAGAAATACAGAGATCTTTCAAGCGAAGAACGCCAACGTTAAATAAAAGTTGCATTTCATAAATAACAAGGAAACTGTGTAAATCGGTCTTCAATGTAGTCCCCTTTATATTTGACCTACTTCCACCAACACTGTACTAATGGCCGGATTTCTCGAGACGAGTGATTTTAATTGATTTTCTCAGATGCGTAGAATAGCGTGGTCACTTGAACAATATGTAATGATCTAACATTCTAAAGCGACACTTGTCATATTTAACATTCTCATCTCATTGAATAGATAAAAGTGAATTAGAGGGAGTACACATATGTTATACGTGGTAACAAATATCTCACTACAAAAGTTTGCGATTATAGGAGCATTTCAGGTAGAGAAAATTTTAATTCACTGAGATTTTTTTTATTGGAAGTTTTACCAAGGATTCGAGGTTTGAATTTATTCAGTAAAAACTAATTAAATTCCTAAGAAAGAAATAAAATCTGTAATTTTAAACTGACGTTCCGGCCTGCTGTAAATATCACTTCCACACAGCTTACATAATGAAGTAAAGATTTTTTTTTTTTGCAAATCCTTACATTTACTTTAATGCAGACTGAATTTCTTTCTGAGGAACAGGTTAAAGAGGACTTTCAGTAAACACGTTTTCAGCAGAACTGGTACATTCTTATTATGCCATTAAATCTGGGAGCAGAAACCGATGTTTCAACACCGCAGATAAAAAAGCCCGTCATTGTACACGAACCTGTCAGTTCAATTCACATACATATTGTGACGTCACTCGCGAGACCGCAGAGTTCACGTGACCTGTACTTACTGTTGCGCCATCCACGTCACACTATAAACAACACAAATTATACACGTATTTCTGAGGTACATTTGCGAATTTTCCGCGTATTAGTTTCTGTCTTTCATGCAAATTGTTCTAGAAGATTAATTGAAAATTTGATTTTTAATATATGATATTTAAAGAAAAATCATATGGACACAGAAAAATACCACATACACAAAATCAGTACAAAAAAACTACACATGAATCATACATACATTTGTATATACATATAAATTCATATTTGAAATATTACATGAATTAAATACTAGACAGCAACACGCAGACGCCATCCATCATATATAAGAGAGAACCAACTTTATAGAACGCCCATAACCACAATAGAAACAAAATAATAAAATATACACAGCACCAAAAAATACACATTCGACTGTACTGAAAGTAGCCACAACGTGTTCCGTACACAAACACAACTCATTGTTGCATGTTACAGACACACTGGTCACCACACACTGCCCACAAAGAAAAATTACACTTCAGAATTCAGAACTGAATCATAAAAAGCGTTAACACGGTGCATAAAATGCAGCGATTTCACTAAACCAGTTTCAGTGCACTTGATGATGCTCGCTTAAGTCGAAAGTGTGGTATATAAATATGACAAGTAAAGTGAAAAAAAACGAGAGTTTTAATTAAAAATTAATTTCTGAATTGCATGAAAGATGGAAATAATGCAGTACAACAGGATGCTGAAATACAATCTTACATTCTTGCGTTACTTGTCCAACCCATTCTACAAATATTCCAACCGGATGTTTCCTGAGAGATTCTCCCCACTAAAAAAAAACAGCTCTGTAACCACGGTCCAACACGCAACAATAGATAAAGATGTGTTCTCTATGTCGTCCGCGCCGAGCATCGGTGGAACAACGGGGTTATGCAACCCGTTCCTAAGCAACAGCTCAGTAAACACACTTCAGATTAGGCGGTGACGTCATCAAAATAATGACGGTGTTATACGTGAGGTCTGTGCAGAAAGCTTATAAGAGAAAAGAATGCAGTTAAGAGTTAGTTCAGGGGCAGTTACGAGTCAGTCGTAAGCTGGCGGAGTGAGTCCAGAAGAATTTTATTTCCGAATTTCCAGAGTGACTGACCACGAAATAGCAAGAACGCTCCATAGTGATTTGAAGTGCTAGTTTCTGTGGTGAGGTCCGTTGCCAGGAGACGACTAGTGATACGGATAATCCTAGTGCGTGTGCAACGGTGAACTGGAAATTGTATAAATCAGCGATAGAGGTGTATTTAAGTGTGATTAAGAGAACTTTTAATCAAAGTGCTAATAGATCCAGTCGTCCGAACTATAACACGTTATTTTCTTCATCCGTACCACCCTACACGTAACAATATCAAGACAGACTGAAGTGCCTTAGCTATAACGATAATGAAATATTATGAGCAGGACTTCCTCTCAGGAAGACATGGTCCACAGTGAGCCAGGAGGAGCAATGGAAGGGGCACAGAGGGGTCCCATTGGATCAAGTTTCATCTAAATATCCAAAATCATTCGCCATTTGGGTTCTGGCATGATTTTAAATTTAAGTTCACCTTAAATGCAAATTTTCTGACTGTGGAAATGGATCTGAAAGCATGACACAGTCCACATTTTGTACTGAGTCAATGCTGAAAGGACAGTCGTAATTTGTGTGACGTCACAAGTTTATGGGTTAATAAAATCCAGTACTGTGTTTTGGTTATATTTTTGTTCGTTGTAGATGGGGTTTCTTTTTCCGGTCAAGGTAATTCCAGCGTCTCAAACCCCTGACCTACACGCTATCGCTCGCTTCTTTCTCAACCGAATTGAAAGTCTACTAATAGGTACTTATGGGTAGAGCTGTAGGGAGGATAAAAAAGTGAAGTGGTGTGCGGAAGGGGGAGGGGGCAGACCTTGGTCGTCCGAAAGAAATATCCCCGGTTATAGTTGAAAAACTGACTGCTTTATCAAGAAATAAAAAATTCTTTCTTTTGTCAATTCTAAACATGCAAGTTTCAACGACGATGAAAGAAATCTTTACTAACTCTAACAAATCTGAACTTGGTAAAAAAATCTCGGGGAAATCTGAACACAAAACCCCAGCAGTCTAGTATTGATCTGCCCTCAGACACTCCTTATGTAATATTCTATTAACTGAGAATTCACATTATGCATCGATATGGCCACCTGACGACAGAACAACGACCGTCTAATTATTTAGTAACCCAAATCATTCTAATGAAATATATTCCACTGGAAATGTAAGCAAATATTTTCCTTCTATTTACGGTTGCCTCATACCATACTGTCACGTGCATTACTGTACTAAGGCACACATAAGTTATTCAAATCACCCGTTAAGTTTTCACGGGCTGACTTCTAATTCTTCTTCAACTACGAACTTCCCGTGACAAACCTCAACTCTCCAGTCTACTAATTTCAGCTGTGTTGTAGCGCTCCATGTCTTCAAGATAATTCCTCGGCACGGACCACACAGAGAAAATACATGTCACGCGCTCGCTATTTCACCAATCCAGTGGCGCGTTGGCTGAACCACAGAAAACACATCACGTGACCGCTACCCAACTAGTTCACTGATGCACTGACTGCTGCCTAGCAACGAACTATAACATTCGTACTATTGTTGCTTGTTCGTATCGCGGGATGTTTATCGTGCCGTTGCCTAGCAAAGCTTTGAGCAAATCTGTTACAATATTTTCATGGAATACTCCTGTTCGTCAGTCTTCTTGACTCACTTACAGATGATATTAGGACTTTAAACTCAATATACAGAACAAACACCACAAATTATGGAAAACAGAAATCGAAGATATGGCAATAGTGCAGAGGATTGAATCTCGATGAATGTATTTCTCAATCTGCCGAATATAGTAAGCATAAGGGTTTATATGCAGCAGTAGGCAGCACAGTTCTAGAATACAGAATCAGAGACAATGGTTCGAATGTTAGACATATTATTCATTTCACTTTAGCTAAACGGTGGCGTCACATAAAATGGTTTATAACAAATCCGTTCTTCACAAATCGAAGCCTGAATTACGTACGAAAATATCCAAATTTCTTACAGTTTGTGACGAATATGACCGTTGTTAGGCAACGGTTCGGTAAGCAGGTTCCCACTGCAACGAATAGACGTGGAAGTCCATTATGGGGCAACGGTTCGGTAAGCAAGTTCCCGTAGCAATGAATAAACACAGAAAAATAGAATAACAGAGGATCTGTACGACATGATCGCTTATAGTCGGTTCGCCCCCAAGTTATAAAAGAATTAGTTCAGTTCATTCGAGAGAGCCAGCAGTGATTCTTCGTTCCTCATTCGTCATTCGTAAGAGGGTTGAGTGTTCAGCTGTGGAGTATTAAGCAGCGGACAGCGGAAGCTGAAGAAGTGACTGATTCAGAGCCAAGTCAGTCACGCAGAAGAGAAGACACTCGTAGTCCAGAAAGGAATGGAGCGAGTCACTGATTGTGAGCTGTTACAATTGATTGTAATTGTATGAGAAGTGCCAATAAATCCAATCATCCAATCCAGAACCATTTTTTACTTGTCACGCAAACCCGTAAAGAGACAACATGATCCGTAGAATAAGAGAATTTTAATCTAAACACTGGAGTGTCTAAGGGAAAACTTAGAGATATTTTTTTTATATCTATATATTCCAAATAAAAATAGGAACGTCTGAATCTATAAGACGTTAGAGGGGGAAAATAGACCGACAGAAATAAAAATGTGTATTTTACTAGTGTCTTCCACAGTAAAAGAAAATTTTGAGTTTACACTCGTAAAATTAATAACAAATCTGTTTTCTAAACTGTGAGTTTAAATATACCCAGATAGTAGCTTAATTCGTTTTACGTGAAATCTAATTTGAAACAAGGGTAACTTTAGTTATAAAGTATATATCAATATTCTTGGAACTTGGAAGATTGAAATGACAACAAAAAAGGAATTCAATATCAATTCATTTTACATATAAATAATTACGTTTTACCATAAAGACAGGAAGTCGGGATAGCACAGTCAGTACTGGATAGTCCCTTTAACGTCAAGAATGTTGTATACTCCACGTCGTGCAGACTGGCTCCGGGGCCCACCCAGCCTCCTACCCATTGCGTAGCAGGGCTCTTTCCCCAGGGGTAAAGCGCCCGAGGAGTGAAGCTGACCACTCACCTCCAAGTAGTACCGAGGTGAAGAAAACCTGGATCTGTACATCCACTCCCCCATACGTCTTCATGGCGTAGTGCTTAATTAGCTAAGCACAAGGACAGTTTAACTTTTTTCTTAATGGCAGACGTAACACAGCTGTAATGGGACCCAAAGTTTCAATAAGGCAAATGTCAAAGGTAACCACTTTCATACAGCTCCGAATCTTAAAACGTGTCTCCCAAAGATATATCTTAATATTACGTATGCTTCTTCATTTTGGAGTTCATGTGGAGGAATTCCAGGAGAAATCCACAAAAGTTCTGTAAGTATTCCTTGTCTCTACCACAACTGCCATGTTCCCATTCCATCTTAGCTCCTTTTGTGCTAACTACAACACTAACTTCAGAGTGATTTACATATACACTACTCAAGAATACTTACACTTACCCACGGACACAGGGTAATTTGTTGTTTTTGTACTATTTGTCCAACGATTAACTCACTGATTTTGCTTTATGCTCAAGAAATTAATTAATGAAGAAAGCAGTCTTCTGGGCTTTGGCGTCGTGTATATGTGATGTTAACCGACGTTTCGGAGGAACGTATCGCCCCCATCTTCAGGGTTGAAGAAAAAGTATAGGTAAATCTGCAAGCGACAACACCGTGAGACACGGTAACGCAGTCTGCGTTACCGTGTCTCACGGTGTTGTCGCTTGCAGATTTACCTATACTTTTTCTTCAACCCTGAAGATGGGGGCGATACGTTCCTCCGAAACGTCGGTTAACATCACATATACACGACGCCAAAGCCCAGAAGACTGCTTTCTTCATAGTCACCGCCGTGAAAGCCTCAAATCTTACAAATTAATTAATGATCCCTATATTCCAAACTTCGGAACTAGATGGTGGGAAGAACCAGCTTCGTGCTCCGGCTACTTTAATCTTACAAATAGAATCCCTAATAACATTAATAGATGAATATAATTAGCAAATGGCAAGAAAGAGAGAAATTCAGTATTAGAAGAGACTTGAATCTGAGTCAGTCCAGCTCTGAACCAGTTACTTTACTCTCTGAACTATCCGGGTTACAATGTCATTGAGATATGCAAGAATATTCTTCATCAAATTTCTTTGTCTACATATTTTTTATCATTCAAATTCTGCTGGTATTACTGTTTGTTGTAAAATTAATCCATACGTGCGAGTAGCACGAAGTTTCTTTCCAGACTTCATTAATGATTTCAAACTCCAAACCGAATCACGCTTCGTTCAGACAAGCATAAAATTGAAACATCTATGTACATCACGTATTATTGATGGAAAATAGATTCGGCTCATAGTGCTGTTCCCTTTCTTTCTACCCCAGCATTCCGCTGAAAGACCTAATCGCGAGCAGATACTGCCCAGGGACCGTCCATTTAAAATAACACAAGAAATTACACTTTTTATTCATGGAGACGGACAACAATTCTAATAAAAGTGAAAAAACTGAAGAACGCTTCGGAACATACTTTTTAATTTTCCGAATTTCGGGTATTAGCATTTTACCCCACACATATCCAAATATTTACATGTTATACGGTACATGTTTTGGTCTGTGTGCTCACATAAATGTACTAGCCATGATACTGGATGTTCTGCAACACACAGATGACCTACAGTATTGTATGGATGGCATCCAGGCCATAGCTGCAATGATCACTGCCTTGTGGATACGCCTTTTTATCAGGTATTGTAGAACCAATATATCTAAATCTCTAAGTATTGGCTGTAGCAGTTACTTCGCTTTTAAAGTTTTGGGCATATCCCTCCCCGTTTGCCCTACTGCATTCAGGAAGTGACAAGTGGTCTGCAATAACATGTTCACATTGCAAGGTTTACTATACAGAACTTAGCGGAATTACTCGTAAAATCTCTATTCGTAGTAAGCATATTAAAATTTTCCCGGGGTTTTGGATCAGTTGGCTACCCTGAACTCAGACAAGATTAAATTTACAGACATAATTTAATCCTTTACAAGGAAATTGAACTATCACATATGAACCACGGCGTTCAATAATTGGGATTCCGCAAAGAATTTATATTCGTGTGTTTTATATTGAACTTAAGATAGATATTTTCTGTTTTCGAATAATCGATTGTGTTGGATTTACGATTCTCACAGGTATGACTTTGAAGGTGCCATCTTGGATGTGAAGCAGTATAGTTGGTTAGATACTCACCAGCGATTCCGAGTAAATGTTGGCTCCCAAAATGGGACATCAAATTTTTTACTACTGCGGAAGGCTCGGAAATCTTGTTTTGGATTTGTACCTGAGCGGGTGTAGGAGCGTGGCAGCTGTGACATATAACGGAAATCAGGATGCGAAGAGATGAGAATGTTTCTCACGGGGTTACTATACGGGGAAGACGCACGTAGCAATCACGACAGAACCCACAATTAATATCACTTTTAAACCAGCAGGCTTCTTATGATTTGCAAAATGTCCGTATCTTCGAAACGCCTGCATCTACGTCGCGTCCTCCGTTCAGAATCGAGAGATTTTGTCACGTCGGCCGCTAATTAAAAGCTGTTAATAAAAATTGGCTTATTTCAAGACTTCTCTGTCGCCTAACTGGAATATCACCAATTACATATTTAACTAAGCGAAAATTTGTCCGCGCCATAGCTCAACCGGTTAGTCGCTGGTTTCCCACCGCAGCGACCCGGGTTCAGTCCCGAGTCTCGTCAAGTGTGATTTGTGGTGGACAAAGTGGCGCTTGGGAGGGTTTTCTCCGAGTACTTCAGTTTCCTCTGCCAATCTTCATTCCACCAAATTCTCCATCATCATAATCACCCAGGGCAGGCTACAATAGGCCAATCAGTGGCCGCCGTGTCGAGTGGACCCAGTTGGACTCCACCCCCATCTAAACGAATTAAAAAAAAAAGCGAAAAATTTATAGTTCTAGAGCAGAACCGAATACCAGTTCATGGATACCATTAATTCTGGCTTCAGTCCTGCACGAAGGACGTCCCTGTGTGAGGTAATGAAACGATAATCGGCGTCCATTCATGGGGACAACAAGTCCTTAGGGAAATGTGCAAGGTGTTCGCAGTATTAGCACGTCTGCCTAGAGACAATGCAATGTAATATTCCTCATAATCCCAAATAACACGAGTAATACGAGGCTCTTATTAAGAGACCGAAGTGAACTGCCCTAATAATGGCAGCATACAAACTGAATCAAGTAAAACTAAAGTGAGAAACAGCTATATCGAACGATAATTCCGTGAAATTAAACTCTTTCAAAAAACGATATGACTTTGTCTCTTTAGTTCTTAAACACAGCCATTATTTGACGCTCAAATTGCAGTATTTTAAAACGGAACATACTAATATAAAGTCTATTTCAAACTGTGGTACTTCTACACCTATGGGTACGAAAGCGGCTTTCAAGGATATTACAAAGCAGAAGTTACCGACAGCGAAACGAGATATCGCCATAATGCTTACAACAATCGAAAACAGCATGAGTTCATTAAGTTGCGCATTCTCAAAATCTGTTTCTTGATTTTATGATATTTGTCATCTGTTTCCTTCTGTACAAATCACAAAAAGTTCTGAAACCTCTTTTTTTTTTTCCTTGGCACTACAGTCCCAGTGGGCCTAGGCCTACCTCCATGAACTTCTCCGTTCACTTCGGTTTTTCTAGATCTTACACATTCGGTATGACTCCTTGGGCGGGTGATCAGCTCGTCGCAAGGCCTCTACCTGTACACAAACACAGAAAAACGCACACACACAAACTAAACATCAATGCCCTAAGTGTGATTCGAACCCACGATCTCGGTTTCCAAGCGAGCGAAGACAGTACATGCCTTAGACCCTTCGGCGACCGTGAACGGCTTCTAAAACCTCTACCCTACATAATTTTTTATCCATCAATGAATAAACATTCATGGTCATAAGTAAATAAAATATAACCCCATAAAGCAGTCACTGAACTTTGTCACACAAACGGTTCGGAAACCGGATCTCTTTCTGTCTTCAGGGGGAAAAATGGATAGGCATTTGCCCTGCTGTTTCCATTACAAAGAGCTAATGTCAATCACAGAACAACGTATAGTCATTTCTTAATAAAATGAGTTACTCATCTTGTTAAGATATTTCCTGAATTACATGGGACCCAGTGATATCCTTTCTATTCAAAGTAGCAGTCACTGAAATCTGTCTTGAGGTAGTTGAAACCAGAAAATAATCTACTCTTTTATGACCTATTTTAATATTATCCTCCCAGCTTGCATTTTCACATTTCCCATATGTTCTATATGCGCCCAAAAGCACCCCACATTACTTTATTTTCTGAATCATATTTGGTGAAAGAACGTATCCAATTATCTCCTTCCTCTTGGTACTTCCTTTTCCTTCGATCCAAATGTTCTCCTCAGTTCTTGTCACTGAGCCTTCACGCTTCTGACTCGTACTCGGAGATGCCTCGTTCGAATTCTGACATGGACACAGACTACACTGACTCAGGATTTTCGTGGTTTTCCTCGTTCCTCTAGCCAAATACCGGGAAAATACATTAAATGTCAGCACAATTGCTTTCCTTCATATCCTCTCCAATTCATTATTGATCAATATCAAATCACATGACGTCATACAGTCCGAGTCACGAGTCCTTATACAAATTAAAAATACATAGACAAATACAAAAATAAACATTAATACTTTTCTACACCTTAAAATGCAACGATGATTTGTGTTTCAGCTTTCGGAAGAACGCCATCTTGAAGCTTCTGCTGCTCTCAGACCCATTCGAATGGGGAGATCAGCCTGCCAGAGACAGAAACTGTGGGCGACGTACAATGGCTTCTAGGATTCCACAAATCCCACTGTTCACAAAGCGAATGTGCATCTTCATATTAGTCTATTATGGAATCCACAGTTTTGTTCGGTTCATGACCGGTGATGACTATCCGTTGATGTTTAACACCTACTATTACTTTGTAGTATCATACAGCCCAGTTTATGAGATGATCTACCTCTCTCAGGTAATCTTTTAAGATGAGTTTACATCGTCACAAAGATCTTTGTAATACACATTTTAACGTTATATTTTCATTTGAGGTTAGGTGTCCCTTTATTTGCCTTCTTAATTAATTCTCTCTATAAATTTTTGGTGGACGGTGCAGGTCACGAGATTGTTCATTGTGTCGTCCTCCTCTTCCAACTTCCTTGTTTTCATAATTCTCCTTTTCTTCTGTATTGTAAAACCGTGTAGTTAGGAGAAGGCCCTACAAATATTCCCTCGAAATCACGATCGAAGTGCAAGCCAAGCTTAGCACAGCTTACAATCTTCTTCCTCTTTTTCATTGTCAGCTTAATCTTCGGCACTAAAGATGGAGGAGATGGGTTCCTCCGATGAGTCTGTCTGTCTTCGGACTACACGGGGTTACAACTCTTCAGACCCATCGCCTCCGGAACTTCAAATACAATTAACCATCTCTTTGATAAAAGAAAGCATTTAAATTGATCAACAGTAAGAATAGGCATATTGCAGTCTTTCAGTAGGGGCTCGCGGTAGCATAGTTGGCTGAGGCATGAAAGCCGGAAGATGGCAGGTTGGATTCCCAATGAGATCATTGGATTTCTCAATTAACCTAATCCTACCAGCCGGATTATGGCCATGAAGTCGACATAGACTCTTAATAGAAATGTTTGTCAGGAATCCTCCTGGGGGTAAAGGGCGGCCGTCGGGTAAGTCTAACACAATCACCGTCATCTATTGTCAGATTATCTCGAAAATGTGGGAGCCTCGACGTCTCACAGCCCTATATGCCTCCATGGCCTGTTACAGGGATAGCTTTACTTACACTGTATGTAGGTCCGATCAGTATGCAATTTATTCTACTTCATAACATTCCAATATATATTCTTTCTTTGTTGTCCTCATGGCACGTTTGTTTTTTGAGCATTATATACTAATTTAAGAATCAAAACACACTAAGGAACTCTCCGTTTCCTTACGTCTTCAAGAACCCTTTCTCCTTTGGGTATATTCCATTGTACCTCTGGGCAGACGATCTGCTCACGTCCATTGCACATGATCATACAATTTCTGATGACACTTCCCAATTTTGCATTTTATACTATCTGCCACACATTTTATGTCTGAGTGATTTCATTTCAGTTATGGTCCCTGCGTATTGCTCCGAACAATAATCTCACGCAGTCTCAGTTGTGCTGCCTCAGTACATCATTCACCTACTGTACCAAGCGCCCAGCATCCACAGCCGCATTGTAGTTTGGGTGTACTCACAGCATTGTGAAGTCTCAGCTGTGTGTCCTTCGTTTATTTTACAAAATTTCTTCTTTATATAAAATTTCCTCTGTTGGGGTATTATCACGTATTTATGGTCGTGACTAATAATAACTGGTTTGGACTTGATGATTAGATTTATTGATCACTCCTTTACAGTCACTCGTAATCTCAATAATTTACAATAAATTACAATAAAGTTTCGGCCGAACCCTTCTTCCTTGACCGCCAAGGATTCGCTCCATTCTCTCTCTCTCTCTCTCTTGAGTCAGAGTTCGAGAGAGAGTTACTTTACGACTGGCGGTTTCTCGCCACTGAGTTCGCCTTGGCGACAAGCCCCTTGAGACTCACGGCACAGTGATTATATTTTTAACTGAACACTTTTAGCTATAGCCCTTATGTGACATCCTCTCTCACGAGAGGATCGGTCGGTCGTTTACAATTGCTACTGGACCTCGCCAGGGTAGTCACTGTCAGGTCAGAGTCCCACTGGACTCATAACCACATTTTACTGTCTCAGATTCGAGACTCCTCAACCTGGAGGGCCAGGTCCCCGTATTTATATCCCCCAGGAACAGAATCGCCCAGTTATACCTCCAGGCACTGGGTTCCCTCTTCATCACCTCATATGACTCGCAGGGCTACGGTGGAGATACCCGACCTCGCCTGGAAACGGGTGCTCTCTTTTTAATCAGATTCAGAATCAGGGTTTACCGCCAACCATTTCGTCTTGGCGACGAGCCTCTTGAGACTCAAGATCAGTAATTTCATTTTCCAACGGAACACCTACGGTTACAGTCCTTATGTAACATCCTATCTGACGAGAGGATTGGTCTGTCCTTTACAATTGTTTCTGGTCCTCGCTAGCGCAGTCATTCTCAGGTCCGAGGCCCGCGGGACTCATGACTACATTTTACTCTCTCAGATTGGAGACTCCCCAACCTGGAGGGCCAAATCTCCGTATTTATATCCCCGAGGAACAGGGTGGCCCGGCTATANCCAGTACTGGACGTCCTCTATTGTTGGTTGCGTATTTCTTGCGGACTTGTTAACCGAGCCGATCTCCAGAAATGGGTCTACATATTTCCGTATATTAAAAAAATCCTTCCATGTATAACTTGCTCAACTATTCCCAGTTCACTTACAGTATTTTACCTCTTTTGCAGCATAAATGTGTGACTTAAATACGTATTAAATTTTAAGGGTTATAGGCCACAGACTTTTCTGAAGTCCAGGTTATTTCATTCTTCCTAGATTCTGTGTATTTTAACATAAATTTCCCACATACTATCCCAGTCGCTACAGACAAACATAATTTGTTTTATGCTACAAAAAAAAGATAATATTCCCACAGTTCTTTCCTTGCCTGGCAACAGTTTAAATCAACAGCAGATTAGAATGAGACAACAAGATCATTTAATCACGAAGTCATAATATGTAAGTAACTTTATCAGTCCAATGTAATTTATTTGAAGAGAAAAACAGTTTAAGAAACCCCACTTTAGCTAATATATTTTAAAGTAAAATATTCTGCAGAATGATTCTGAATTGAGTCAACATCAATGTGTTATATTCGAAACCATTTCTGGCAGATCATGGCAGCTGCTGTTTATATTCTAACATTTGCCAATTCTATTGGCCTGTATGGTTCAATAATGGCCATAACGTGCAGTCAGCTGGAGAAGTTGAGAGCGAACCTCCTGGATATCAGACAGGAACTCGACTCGGGCGCTGAGACTGACACAGAGGAGTGGAGAGAGGTTCAGACATCTCAGGAAGTGTTCTGTCGCATGCAGGAGCAGCTCAACGAATGCATACGTCATCACCAGCAAATAATCAGGTATGTTTGCTACATGCGCCATGCTGGTTTCTTGCTTGGCTCTTCTCAGACCCTCAAAATGGAGGCGATATGTTAATCCGAAAAATCGCCTGACGCTCAACTCGATGTAGAACATTCTTGCGCCTTTCTTAAATTGTCTGAAACATGTGTTTCCACCGAAAACTTTCCACGCGGCTGAATGATCATACATGAGAGAGATAGTGGACATTCAGGTTGACCAACATGTACGTATTGTACACTTAGGCACTCAGTGGAGGTGAGTTGCAAGTTCCGCGATCTGTCAGTATGTACTTTACACAAAGGAGAATCATGCGGGACTTTCGCAACAGGATAAAAGGGAGACTATAGGGCCGGTAGCCAGAATAGAGTGGAGATAATTTCGTATTCATATTGGGACACGTCCAGCCCTTAAACTATCACTCTGCAACCTGAGATAAGTGAAAAATGCAATCTACTTCACTATTTTAATGTTCTATGACTGTTTTTCTTATAGTATTATTATTATTAGTAGTAGTAGTAGTAGTAGTAGTAGTAGTAGTAGTATTGTATTGATTTTGTGATATGTTTGCTACCACCCAGCTTCGCTCCCTTATCTAACTAACTCCACGAAACAAAGTCCTTTTAGAGAATCTAATAGTTGTTCAGGTACACATGAAAGTTCCTGCCATTTAAGGAACGTAAATTTGGTTATCGGCGTTCACAGGTGCCCGCCACTGCTCCTATCCTCAGTAAATTAAAATCAGTTGACACCATCCCAGCCCTTAATAAAATTATCGTCCCGTCTATGCTAACTTTTCTCTGTATGCTCAAACCAATCCCCTATGCATCAATTACCCATGTATAGTTTCTCTTTTACTTAAAGCGGCCGGTGCGTGAAACTAATCACTTTCGCCCATCTAATACCGATCGTTAAGAATGACGAGCTCTACATCCACAATAAGTCGAAGCCCTGAGTGACCTGTAGCGTATATGCTTCTTTACCTTTATACAGACAATTCTGTGTTTGGATATTTCCTTGAGGCTTGAAGGATGACGTGTACCATGAATTGGCTGGAGCGTTACTGAAGTGGCTTCAGCACATGAATGTCCACATTTGGATACATTATACAATCACGGATAGTTCAATCCACAGAAGCGTTATTGTGCGTTACTTGCACTGTGTTCATAAGATTTAGGCAGCGTCTACACGAGCGCACAAAATTTGTCCGTTGTAACGAAAGTACTTTGCTGAGGACGTTGCTGAGGACACCACACAGTTGTGGAATGCAGTTCGTACTTTTTGTCTGCAATCGAGCCAGAAGAAAGTGTAGGATTCGCTTCTCTTGTTTATTTCTACAACAGACGCATTTTGTGCGCTCGTTTGGACGCTGCCTAAGCTATATATGTTTATTCGCCTTGTCTCTCTTCTTGCCCTTCTGTCTTTGCCTTTAAACCATAGAACAGTTGGGTACATTTTTACCAAATTTGATACTGGAGAATTTTTATGAAGAGCTGCTGAGCTAATACAAATATTATTAAAATCTTTAGTGTCTTCGGGTTGGGTGAGGCTGAGTCCACTTGATACGTCGACCACTATTTGGCCTATTGTACCAGCCCCAGATGATAGACGGTTATGAATGTGGGGCAGTCGGTGGAATGATAATTTGGCAGGGGAAACCGAAATACTCGGAGAGAACCTGCCCTAGTATCTCTTTGTCCACCACGAATCCGACTTGACCAGACCCGGGATCGAACCTGGACCGCCGAGGTTGGAAGCCAGTGACTAAACGCTTGAGCTATGGCGCGGCCATTAGCAGTGTCTTTACTCGACACTTTTACATGGGCATTTTCTTTGGTTTCGGCTTCTTTGGGCTCAACCACACTGCACTCTGCCACTTTGTGAGAGGCTCATATTGAAAACACCATGTCTCGTCACCAGTAACAATCGATTTTGTAAATTTTGTATCACTTTGGGCAGACCGTAACATGTCTTTGCAGTGTTCCGCTCTGGCATTTTTTTCATCGCCTGACAGCGCGTGCGGTACAAACCGCGCACAGACATTCCGTTTGCTCAAATCTTCGGTCAAAATTTGATGCACAGTACTTTTTGGTATTCCCAAAAGCTCCACAATGCGTCTTGCAGAAACACATCTGTCTGATGCAAGGATTTCGGTCACTTTTTTCACATTTCCTTCAATGCGACTTGTTCTCGGCTGCATTGATGCACGTGGAGCGTCTTCAATGTCCTTCGTGTCGTCACGAAATACAGCATACCATCGAAAAATGTTCGAGCGACTCAAACAATCACTACCGTACACACTTTTCATCACTTCGTACGCTTCTCCGGCTGTTTTGCCTAATTTCAAACAGAATTTGATGTTGGCTCTCTTTTCAACCGCCATTTTCCGACGAGCGTTAGAACAGTACTGATACATTCAAGGTCAAACACATGATGCAGCGACGCTTACACTTTGAAATTATAAACAGCCACAGCTGAAACTTCAAGAATCTTAACGGCCCAACTCGCCAACAGAGGGCATTGCAGAGCAAAATTGAAAAAGAAAAAGATTCTGGACACGCCGTGTGTATGTATACGAGTATATAACAAAAGTAAATTCCGCTCCGCGCCGGTTACAATGAGCTGTCTCGCATTACAAGTCGAGAGTCACTCAGCCCGCGAATTCCACGTCTGTACGCCGATGGCAGAACCAAGGTTCGGTCAGCGGACTAACGTACGTTCTAACACCGCTCTTTTCCTCTCGCCTTTGCTTGTATCAGCGCAGTCGGAACGGTGCTATCCCTGCTACACCTGTTTCTTCCTTAGGACAGTGTATGATGGCCACTGGAAGTTCTTCTCACAGATCAAACTAAGGAAGATCGGTATAGGTACGGGAAACTAGCTGGGTCGGTTTGCATGGGTCTCAGGGTAGCGATGCCGCAGAAAGCGTTTTTCTAAGAGTTGAGCCAATTAACGTTTATTTCCCTGCTAATTCACCACTGTTAAATTAATGTATTCTTGTGCTGTATGTTACAGAGTTACTATCGGCAGGCTATGTCTCGGAGCGTGCAAGGTCGCGTCCGTTCAGTTCGGAATCTATTGTGAAAGTCCCTCCTTTTGTGGAATGGCTTGCACCCCCACGCCGGGAATTCGAAAGATGGTGTTTTCATATACATTTTATCCCATCTTCCGTGGGAAGCTTGAACGAGGCAACCCAATCATACTGGCCCTCATTCACAGGCAATTGTAACAAGCTCTGACCTGTCCTTTTAGGCGCGTCCGGTTCCCCGTACCCGAGCTAAATTTTATGACTGATCATAAATGTCATGACTCCGGATTTCTTGTTTCTGCCAAAATCTAGGAATTTCAACATAAACACCGTATTTCAAGTCCCAGACAATGAAATACGATATTAAAGATCACGATACATTTCCAGTAATATCGAAACATAAGACTTTTGAAATTTAAAATTACGGAGAATTAATTAGAAATAAATTTCAGGTTCATCAATAATCATCCAAATAAATAAGGGCTCAGAATGATCAGCGTCAGTTCATTTGCACGCGGACATTAACATTTCACTTCTGACTTAAATAATACGTAATCCTTAGCTTAGCGGCACCAGAGCAGATCCAACAATTATAATTCCACTGAACATAATATGTCGGCCTGACATTTGGTTCCCACTGATTCAGTCTAATTGTACTAAAACTTTTAACTGAAAGAACACATAATTATGTGTAATTATATGTATAATTATAATTATTCCTTTCTGATTACGTAATTTTTCAGATTCATGCGAGTCGTGGAAGAAATCTTCAATCCATTTCTGGTTGGACTCTTTCTCCTGTTGATGTGTGGTATCTGCTTAACAGCCTTCTCTGTTGCCATGGTACGTTCTCAAAGATAAAAATGACACGAATAAATAAGTAGTCAGTAGCATATAATGTGTAAGAAGAACATAAATTTGAAATGCTTCTAGTTCCAGTCACATTTCAAAATATTCTAATTACTATTTGATTGGCCATAATTTTATCACTTGAAAATATCTGCAAAATGGGTCGCTTAACTGAATTCGGTTTTATGTAATTTTGGTTTCTTCACTAAATGAAATCTCAAATATTGAGTCAGAGAGCGAAGCTATGTATATGCAAGTTTCGTAGACACAGCTAGGTGTAAAAACTTTCGTTTGCATACGTTTTATTACTATGCGACTCGATTCGTCCTAACTGGCATATTAATGACAAATCAGATAATCAAATTAAACCTAAATTTTATTCAATATATAATTTTCTACCAATAAATAGCAGCACCAGTCAACAGATTTCCCTCACCACTTCACGAAAATGACAATATCTCCGCCCATAACCCGAAAACCACACACACTAAGTCAGAGAAACACGGTACACGCGGATTTCCCAGCTAAAGACTTCTGCATCATTCAAGGTAAGAACTCTTAAATACGGAATACCCAAATAGGGAAAACGCCCAGGATGAACAATATCCAGTAGGCTAACTGTATCCATGGATCTGAGTCCTTCTTGAGAAGCCGCCAGTCGCTCAGCTACTCGAGAATATTCCAAAATTTTATGGGACCCGAAAGTTCATTTCCGTGTTCACAAGAGCCCACCACTGGTCTCCCTCCTAAGCCAGATCAATCCAGTCCATACCACCCACCATCCTACCTCTCTCTGACTCATCACTATCTCTCCACATAGAAAGAGGCCTCCCTAGTGAACTCTTTCCTCCTGACTTCTCCACCAATATCATACAGGCATTCCTCTTCTCCCCATTCGTGCTACATTCTTTGTCCATCTAAACCTCCTTGACTACATCATTCTAATTATACTTGATGAAGAACACAATTTACAGAACTCCTCACTATGCAGTTCATCCCAACCTTTATCCATCTTCGTACAAATATTCTCCTCAGCACCTTGTTCTCAAACATCCTTAGTTCATGTTCTTCCTTTAATGTCAGAGACCTTAACTTTGACACTCATACAAAAGTGCAGACAAAGTAATAGTTTCGTACATTCTAATTTTAGGTCTTCAGATAACAGAATAGAAGAAAACAGTTTCTGAACTGAATGTCAACAAACATTTCCTGAATTCGATCTACTCTTTATTTCCTTTTGAACCAAATTTTATTTGTACTGAACTATAAGTTTTTATATTTAAATATTTAAATTTTATTTGTTACCATCGTTCCTATATATATAAACTTTGTCACATTTTCGAAAGATCTATTATCTGTCTTTTCGTCATGATTTTACCCTGAATTCTGATGATGAGACATCAACATGTATTTAGTTTTCTCTGCGTTTACTTCTAGACCAAACTCCTTATTAGCGTCATTTAGAGCATTTGTGTTTTTCTTCATGGTATTTATATTATCTCCCAATACATTTGCATTATCGGCATTAGCTAGCAGCTGATGTATCTCATTTAACTTCAGTCCCATTTGGTTTTCCTGAACGTTCGTATTGGCATATTCTGTAAGATGAAAAGCAATGGTAACAAATCAGCTCCTTTTCTTAGTCTGCTTTCAATAGGAAAATTATCACAAAAATCTCTGCCTACATGGACATCAATATAGGTTTAATTTAAACAATTTTTTGTCAGTCCAACTGGTTTCATGGGTATCATAACTTCTATGAGAATATTGTACAATACTTCCCTCCTAATTTAATCATAGATTTTCTTTGAAGACTATGAATAGCTGATATACTATTTCATTGTATTCCCATTCCTCTTCTAGTATAAGATATGAAACAAAATCTGATGAGTTTTTGGTCTGTAACGTCTAACCCACACTAACCACACTTTTTATTTCTTTTACGTATTGTAGTAACCTTGAGCAAAGAACGTTGTATGAAGATGATAAAGAATAATATGCATCCACATAGCTATAATCAGTCTAAGCGTATTTTCTATGAATTGGTGCAATAATAGACTCCTTCCACTTCTGAGCCAATTATTCCAAATTCAAAATAATATTAATTATTTCATGAATATCAGAACACAAATTTTCACCCCCTGCTATAAAACAATTCTGCCGGAATTTGATCGCTACCTGGCGATTCATATTTTTTCAATTATGTAATAGAAATTTCAAACTTAATATTATTAGATTCAGGTACCAGTGACTCATCTGTATGTATTTATATCTGCCAAGCGTCCTTAATCCTGTTCATATTCAATATCTGAGGGAAGAAATTCTTCCACCTACAAAGAAAAATTATGGGAAGCTGCAACCAGATCAGCAATCTTATCCTTATCAAGTGAGTTCCAGGTTGGTAACCATTCTTAAATGAATGTATTCCTCTATATAAGCTTGCAATGTTCTTGATTTTAATGTATTTCGCAAGCTCATTAATTTTGTGTTTCAGATATTCCTTCTTTTTCCCCTAAAATGTCTGCTAGCTCAGGACTTCTCATTGCTCGGATTACGCCCATTTTTTGGCTGTTCTCCTTCCACTCCCTTCTTTTTTCCATGGAAGCTCTGGGCTGCGTTTCTGAAACTCATTGCCGTCCTTGATCCTACTTGCGGAGGTTATTTCGAAATTTATTTTGGCTATATCATTTCTGAAATAATTTAGGCAGTCGTTTGTACCACATGTTCGGGGCAGTCGAATCCTTAATTAATCTGCCAAGGTAAGTTGTTTTCTGATAGACTTGAAAGGATTCTGACGATGGTGTATACTGTACTTCTTTTGGCTTATTTTGGACTTCACCCATCGTCCGGTATATAAAAAAGACAAAAAAAAACCCACAACGTTTCGGAGACTGGATCTGTCTCCGTCTTCAGGTGTATAGGGAAGGTTTAACCTACTCAGTTGGGCCCCTTAGAAAGAGCTAACTAGCAGGAATTTCGTGTTCTTTACTTTTCCTTTCCTGCAGTCTGGTTGTATCTCTACCCTAAGAGAATTGTTTGATTAGTTGTCGGTTGGGCAGAAGAATTAATTGTGACTGATCAAACGTATGCAAACTGTTATTTGTGTACCCAGTTTTGTTTATGGGATTTCGTTAGGAATTAAGTCTCTTCGAAGTAAAGAAAATCGATAGATAATTTGTTATATTATGCAGATAACAATATAAACTTTATTTGATTACTTAGTATATTTCTCGAATACTAATTTATTTGCGAGTTATAACAATCGGAAAGAAGGAAGAACACGACCTTTAATTTACGCCTTTATTTCGTGTGCTTGTTGCATAAAATACTTAAAAAATAAATGACACAAGTTGCGTAAATTCCAATGAATATTTCCACGATTCTTATATTTACTCTTGTCGTTTATCAGAAGCTTAAATTAAGAGAAAATTGCTTCGGTGTAAATGATCTACACAAAAGAGATTAGCTCTTACTTAATATATATTGGTAACATATATATATTTTTTCCCTTCTTCCCGCTCTTCTGAAGGCGTCGTAAAATTAAACACATATCACATTTAGGAAGATGTTATGAATTAGGTGTTTTGCGTGTGACTTACAGACGGGGTTTGGATTGGATGATTGGATTTATTGACACCTTATTCACAGAAGTCGGAACTATGGACAATACAGCGCTATCGCTGATCTACACACTTTACAGTTCATTGTTCCACACACACACTAGGTTTCTGAGTCTTCACTAGTCGTATCCTGTCAACGGATTTTTAAGTGTCCCTTGTACTGCGACCACTTCTGGCCTATTGTACCAGCCCCAGATGATAGGTGAGGGTGATTGTGGAGCAATTGGTGGAATGAAGATTGGCAAGGGAAACCGGAGAGAACCTGCACCAGCGCCAATTTGGCCACCACAAATCCCACTTGAACAGAACCGGGATCGAACCCGGGCCGCTTCGGTGGGAAGCCAGCACTAACCGCTTGAGCTATTGCGCGGCCCCTTTAACAGTCTCCAGACCTAACACCTCTCGACTTCTACCTATGGAGAACCTTGGAGGAGGAAGTTTATCGACAAAAGCCAGCTACACTGAACGCGCTACGTGTGCAGCGATCACACCGGACACACTGACAGCCGTAGTTCGCTCAGCAGTTCGGCGGCATCGACGCTGTTTAGCCGCTGATGGTGGTCACTTCGAACACATACAATGTCTCTCTCTCTCCGCGCAAGAATTGTAACTACATGTCATTTTGTTCCAAAGATATTGACTATCAAAAGCGGGTACATTTTTTGGATCCCTCTGTATATTCATAATCTCATTGGTGTTGTCATCCGCAACCCCAGTGATCAAAACAGAGTAGCAACTGTAATTCTGATTTATGTATTTGATAACTGTTACTTACATGTCAATTTAATTTTCAAATTAATATTTTCAGAACTGGGGAGATCTGTATTCATTGTCCGAAGCCCTTCTTATTTACTGCTTCTTGATGCTTATGTTGTGCGTCTACTGCCGTTTCGGAGAGGAGTTGACAAATCAGGTCTGTATCTGCAAGAATTTCACTTCTCCTCTAATAATAATAATAATAAAATGATATTACCTTAGGCCCGAGAGACTGAGAGACAATTATCAAGGCCCGCTCACGTGCAAACTGGAATTACCACTATTATTTTAGGAGAATTCTCTGAAGTTCTTAGCACTGATGGTGGTGCACTAAAGAAAAATTTTCCCTAAATGAGCAGCAGAATGATCAGTGTGGTTCAGTTCTGCCCCCCACTTGCCTCGCCTTCCTCTCGTTTTCAGATTGGACGTACAAATGCTCTCCTTCAAAAGAGTGCGGACACAGATTATATAAAAAATGAATTCTGAATTATAGAAAACTATATTTTCTTAACTATTAAAGATAAAGATATCCCTGTAACAGGCAGTGATTGCCCGCAGAACTGTGGGAGGTCGAGGCTCCCACATTTGTACGAAGATGAAGATAAATTGTTCAGCAAGATAGAGTTATGCCTCATTACAGTAGCATTTTTGGTTGTGAATTCCATGAGGTGTTTGTTCCGTACTGGACTGGGAAGACCCATCCGAGATTACCGACATAGCGATCCGCAACTTCCTATTTTAGGATGATATTTTCACGTGTTTATGGCTTCGTGACTAATAATAACGGGTTCTCGAGTAGATAATTGGATCTATTAACACCTTACACAATCAACTCGGAACTATAGGCAATTACAGCGTGAAGCTGACCACTCACCTCCAGCTAGTTCCGAGGTCAAGAAAATGTGGATTTATACATCCACTCCCCCATACGCCTTCATGTTGTAGTGCTTAATTAGTTAAGCAAAGGGACAATTTTACCTTTATCTGCTGAGAAATTGTGGTTGAGATTTTTACTAATACTCTCAAATATCAAATATTTTCAGGTCAGACGAGTGGGGCGGGGGCTGATTTTAAGCGAGATATCTCTTGAGTGTCATGAAAAGTTTAGTCGAAACTGTGAAATGTTACAGGCGGAGAGCGTGAGACATGCAGCCTGGGGGTGTGACTGGGTAGGCACTCCCGTCCAATTTCAGCGCTGTCTTCTCTTTATTATCGCCACGGCCAACAAGGAGTTCAGATTGACTGCAGGGAAATTCGTCACAGTTTCCAACAAAACTCTGATCAATGTAAGCTTCAGTGGTCATTCACGTTGCAAATTAAAACACAGTAAGAGACAAGCAGTAAGGCTGTCCAGGTGCCTAACTAAGCACTATATCGGTGCAAACGTGGACAGCAGTAATGTGGCACTAGAATTTATATGATAGCGATGAACTAGATTCACGATTTTCTAGTTACACCCAGTTACAAGAAATTACACAATTAATTAAGAGGCTGGGTCGTGATTAGAGACGGTCAGGACCTCATGGGAAAGACAGAAACCTATGTCACTGACAATTCTCGTGCTGTCCAACCCATAGCCCAATCATTATACTGACTACCATCTCACACCTCTCGTCTGTCTGTCTACCTCTCGCTCTCTCTCTCTCTCACATGTTGCTCACACTTGAAGCATAATGCATCCGTGAAACGCTTTCTTTCATTTCAATTTCTTAATCCTAGAAGCCGGTAGGACTCCTTGGACTGGGGATCAGCCCGTCGCAAGATCGCTGCTTACACAAACACAGAATAAATGCAGACAGACATTTATGCTTTGAGTGGGATTTTAACCCACGATCCCAGTGTTCAGGTGGGCGAAGACGGTTGTTAACAGGCCCGTGGTACCAAAGTAAAAGGGAGAATTCCTGAATTTGAACTGCACGTAATTTTGTCGTTTGTCTTTGTGACTTTTAACAGTTTAACATTCTCAAATAACCGCAACTGTTGTTTTATATTGGTGCGTAATATGATCTCCTATCCTGTGAGCAGACTACAGATTGATTGATTGATTCCTTCGTTCTTGCATTCATCCTTAGACCTCACGCACTCTCCCTTGTACCTTGTATGTTCTACTTCTTTTCTGATTCTCTGCATTATCCTTTTATAATTCACTCTTTTCTGTTTTTCTTTTCTTATTTCTTCCACTTTCTTTCTTCTTCATACCGCCGTTCTCGAATTAATTACAAGTGCTGAAATTATATATGGACTTGGAAGGATTGAGGCAGATTAATTGACATTAAATATTACACAATTTATAACATTCACGCCTACAATTTAAGGGCCACAGAATATAATTGGCTGAGAAGGAGTCCTCTTGAAAAAAAAAATATTCATTGGCTCTGTAAAATATGTTAATAAATTATGTAAATTATGAATGTTACGATGTGCGAACATCGGACAATAAGATTTTAGGATGTTGCAAAATTCACTACTTTTAACTCCATTATAATTACTAATTTCGTGTAAACTCTGGTTCTCAATCGTTGGTTTGAAAATGTCTTCCACCCTACTTTGACATTGAAACATCCTAACAGAATTTTCTTGTGATATTTAGGGAAATTATGAAAGACATGTTCTAGTTCTTCATAGAACCTGTTCTTTACATCATCAATTTTATCTTCTGTTGGTGCATGAACATTCATAACAATGATATCACACCAGCGGCCTCTTAGTATTATATATGATATCCTATCACTAATGAACTCTACCCTCTCAGCTGCTGATATGGGTCTCTTATGTACGAAAAGCCCTGTACCTAATTCATGATTTTCATTCCCCTTTCCATAGAAAAATGTGTATTCACCTGCTGGTTTGGTGACCCATCTCTCTCATTTCACGTCCTGTAATCCCACAAAAATTAACTTATATTCTGGTATTTCTTTCGTGCCTGTCACGGTCGAACCTGCCCTATACACACTCCTTACATCCATGTACCAAATCTTATGACCATTTTTTTAGTTCAGGTCGTTTATCTAAGGAATCCGTCGAATTCCGATGTCCTTTGTGACATTTTGTAAGAAACGTAACAAAAAAAGTAAAGTTATCCCTGTAACTGGCTATGAAGGCCCATAGGGTGTTGAAGATCTCACATTTTCTCTACAAAATAAGCTCACAGATGGCTGTGAGTTTGTCAGCCTTACGCACGGCTCGTCCTTCTCCCCTCACCTGGAAGATTCCTGGTACTCATTTCTGTCAGACGATGAGTGGAAACCAGTGTCATACTGCGGCTGAAAGAATTAGGTAAATTAAAAAAATCCGCCTCTTCGGGGCTCGAATCCACGATTTTCCGGCTTGTAACATAGTGCCTCAACCAACTACTCTACCGCGTATTTTTTATGGTGAGAAATTTTTGGCCCCACGCCAAACCCCTCTAGCAGAAGGACCACCCCTTCTCGGTTATCCGCGACTGCTTGTTCAGTATATTCGCAGTTGTACTCCATATTTGGAGGTTATCTTCTCCATCTGCAATCCGAGGACCCGCCATACCGTGGAGGCAATTACTCAGTACATATTAACAGGGCACAGTAAACGCGACTAATTATTGCAGTGTATGAAAAATATGAAACCTAATTGGCACCAACCCGACAATTAACGCTTCCATGAGAAATTGGGCCTAAGTCAGTTACAGGTGCTCTTTCTTGTAACATCGTAGATATTTCATGATGATTTGAACTTGTTTTCCTTATGGACCAAATGTCTTTTTTGCATCAAAACAAGAGTCTGCCTTCAGATAACACAAATCCATCGTTATCTCTAAAGTTAAAGAAAAAATGACTAATATCCTTTTCTGAAATCACATTCTGCTCTATCTAAAATAAATTAATATAATAATATAATATATTAATTAATATAATNCTCACCTCCAACTATTGCCGAGGTCAAGAAAACGTGGATCTATGCATCCACTTAATTAGTTAAGTACACGGGCGACTTTACGTTTTTTTCCCCCTTGGCACTACAGCCCCAGTGGGCCTAGGCCTATCTCCATGAACTTCTCTGGACTTTACGTTTATCTTACTGAATATTTAAGGAAGACAATTGCAAATCTATGCACAGATCTACTCCAAATACAAGTACCGTCCACTCATGACCTTTGTTACCAGTTGCGATGGACCAGCTCTCACACACAAAGTGTACCATCACTAAAAACTGTACGAGAGGATCTGCTAACAAGTATTATCAGTGATTTTTCTGGGTACACAGATTTTCAACCAAACGATATCGTTCTTCATGTTCCTCATTCAAGTAAAGGACAAGACTGAGGACAACCAGAACACTTAGAATCTAATTAACATCCATTCCCTCCGTACCAAGACAGCAAGACTGTGGAAGTTCCGATGGAAGAAGACAGGATCTCTATCTTCAAAATGCCATAGAATTATTCATCATATAGATTATCTAGATATAGGAGTGTACAGAACATAGAACATTTGCACCAAAGCACGTAGTTATAAGTATCTCACTGACCAGAAGGTGTTCCTAGTACTCGTTGTATTGAATAATATTAAAGCAGAGATATCATTGACTTTCTTATCATTAAAGTATTATCTACACAGCATGAATGTCAGTAAATAATTCCCTGATAGTAGAAGTATTAGCTGATACAAAACGACTCAATAAACACGAGACCGAGACAGTTTCAACCACCTCCAATCCTGAAAATACTAGTATATTCCTGTTAAGTCTCTCTTAATGGTATCCTTCAGTCAATTTCTGTCTTGAAAGTGAATGTTTTAACGGCCTTGACCGACCAGAATTTTGTGTGTGTAAATTCTCACTACACTTTCTGTATATATTGCCTTATTTGTTAAAGAGTAACCGACTGTAATTTCATCATACGAAGAACACGAGAAATTGCTTTAAAAAATACGATATTCTATCATTATTATGTCTAAATTATTGGTCTTTTCTACCCAATATGTGGCAACAAATTCGTCCTTCGGGCTCTTCAGGTGTTCAAATCGTAAAAAAATGTAACAGTGCTCAGTGTACGATGTTATACGTTATAAATGTTCACTTCTTAATTGGCCGTATCACATGCAACTTAAATCCATGACTTATTTAATCCGTCTTGCAGTGCATACATTCATTTATCTCCTTTCCCTCGCACTACATGTTTCGGCATAATAATGCCATCTTCAGGTGCTTACTTGTCCACGTCAAACCAGTTCATTGCATGCCATGTTCTTGCAACTTAAAATTTTAAAATTCATTTTAAATTCTAAATCACTGATGCGTCAAATGTTTCGGTCGATATGGTCACAATCAGGTGCTTCGAAATTGCTGTTGGAAACTGCTGCACCTCCGTTAATGTATACAATTCTAAAGCCTACCTTGTTCTAAGCGCCCATGTGTTATTGTACGTTTATAGTGCTACTGTTAACAGCTGCACACAACATGCAAGAGGGATCACCCAGCACTACAAACCTACAACACATCCATCCATCCATCCATCCATCCATCCATCCATCCATCCATCCATCCATCCATCCATCCATCCGTCCGTCCGTCCGTCCGTCCGTCCGTCCGTCCATCCATCCATCCATCCATCCATCCATCCATCCGTCTGTCTATATATATATAAAAGTAAAGCTATCCCTGTACCAGGCCGTGAAGGCCCATAGGGTTGTGAGACGTTGAGGGTCCCACACTATCTACACAATCGGCTCAAAGATGGCGGTAAGGTTGTCAGTCTTACGCGCCGGCCGCGCTTTACTCCCCAGTAAAATTATTTTTAATTAGTTCCTGGTACTCATTTATGTTAGATGCTGAGTAAACCCCACGGCCTAGTGCGGCTGGAAGGATTAAGTCAACGGAAAAAATCCAATGAACTCATCGGGACTTGAACCCGCGACCTTCCGGCTTGTAATTAATATATATATATATATCTGCCTGACTACCTGCCTATCTATCTATAGCTTTATAGCCCTTGTGGGTCTTGGCCGTTTTTCAGTTTCTTAATCCATGCACAGTCGGTAGGACTACTTGGACAGGGGATCATCTCTTCACAAGGCCGCTACCTACACACAGAACACACAAAAACAAAGGAAACACACACAGACATCTATGCCTCGAGTGGGATTCGATCCCAGAGTGAGCGGGCGAAGACGGTTATGCCTTGGACGGGGCGGCCACTGTGATCGGCTTGTACAATATAAGGGGGCATAAAATGAGGTAAAATTTGGAAGTGTGCACATCGACGGAAGTGCCGTAGTTTTCAGCGTCATTTTCTAAGCACTTGATGATAACCACATCGGCCGAAATATGTAGTGTACCAATGATTTAAAATTCATAGTGAACTTTAACGTTTTTAAGTTGCATGTCAGACAGCGAAAATGAGCGATGTGCAACATAATGCTGCAGTGTGATATTAAGTTATGAAGCTGTGCAGAAGATGGCTGAAGCTCTGTCACTTTAATGGCGGGATGAATTCCTCATGATCTGAGATGCATGTATTTCGGAAAAACTATCGAACGTAAACACCAACATATGTATGTTCTCTTTTCTACAAAATGGGGTAAAGCTTTCGATTTCTGTGCTATAAAAAGAGCCGGAAATTACTGTTGATCAATAATCTAGTCTTTGTTACTGTCCTGCATTCATTCTTCATTCATTACCTCTGGTAACTGCAAAATTCATCACAGCTGCAGCCATGTCTAAGGCGCAACATTCTTCCTTCTCTGGACTACTGGCATCGGAGTTTTAATCCCAGTCGGAAAATGAAAATATGTGCGCTTTCTTCTACGCTCGGGATGTACTGTGTTCTTAGAGTCTTGTGATGAACTAATACCCCAACCAAAAGAGTCCTACATGTGGTCCCGGAACCCGAATGACGGAAGGCCTTGAATCTACTTGTTCAGCGGCCCCCCATGAGCAGAATGAAACTGTTCGGTGATACTGTCTTCTGAGATGTGATGCAGTATAGTCTGGTAGGCTTATTCCGATGTTTCTGTGGAAATTACTGCCTCAGTATTCCCAAAGGGTAAGCCAAGCAAGCTGCAAGCAGAGGTCAAGCGCTGGTGCACTACACGAACAGAATGGATTGACACGCATTAGGATGTAGAAATAAGGTTTACTGCTAAAAATGTACCTTTCCGTCACATTTCTAATATCTTATTTAGTACTAAATAAAAATCATTAATAAAAATATGTTATTTTTCTTTTGATTCTATAAGGTTTAGAAAGTCACCCGCTCTGAGATAAGAACATGAGCCCTAAATTACAATATTTGATTTTAATATACGAGTAATTGGACAGAATAAGTACAAATAAAAAAGGAGCAAATTGCATAATGACGACATCCACAGTTCGAAGTTCGGGGAACAGAGGCCATGAGAATGTGATTATTCATTTATTCAAAAAATGCTCCGACTTGTACAGAACCCAAATTAAACTGGATCAGAACAGGACCCTGTATGGACCCACAGTAAAGAACCACTGGTTTCCGTAAGAACATTCAATTTCATGGCGCATTTGGTACCAACATATTAATTATGAATTTCATAAATTAAGTAAATAAGCGCAGAACTATAACTGAATAAGTCCACAGTCGATCCACCTCCATAGTTTTGCACGGTTGTGTTACTGCCGACGGAGGGGAATAACAATGCACAGTGACCCCCCTCCCCCCGTCCCATTATGTTCATATCACCTTTGATGAATATTGGCCGAATCCTTAAAAATTAAGACTTGGAATCGCTTCAGACTGCCAATGATTCTGGTATTTCAAATTATATTTATCTTATAAAAAATATAAAACCGGTTAATTACGGATACTTTTAAAGAGATTTTGTTTTTTCCTTGGCACTACATCCCTAGTGGGCCTAGGCCTACCTCCATGAACTCCGTTCACTTCGGTTTTTCTAGATCTTACACATATGGTAGGACTCCTTGGGCGAGTGATCAGCTCGTCACAAGGCCTCTACCTGTAAACAAACACAGAAAAACGCACACAAACATCCATATCCTGAGTGGGATTCGAACCCACGATCACGGTTTCCGAGCGAGCGAAGACAGTGCATGCTTTAGACCGCTCGGCTACCGTGACCGACAAAGAGATATTACGATACTTAGATATTCAGATACAGAGGACTTATGACACGTGATGTCACTGCAAGCATAGCCGCATAAATGTCATTGTTAGGTATGTGGTTGTAGACGAATGTGAGAAGTCCAACTGTATTCTGAGGACGCCATGTTGGGATCTTGTGCAGGTACGTCTGTTATCCGGGTGTATTTCTTGGTGTTTATCTTCATCCATTAAAAACAATAGCTAGAACAGCAACCAAAAATAGGTCACTAATTGCTACATATCATTCCTTTCGTTTCAATATATTCTTCTTCTTCTTCTTCTTCTATTCCTGCTGCTCTAAATTTGAGCACAAGGCATCTGTGAAACGCTTCGTTTCACTTCAGTGTCTTAATCTAAGACAGTCGGTAGGACTCCTTGGATGGGTCACCAGCCCACCGCTACCTAACACAAACAGAGTATAAACACAAACGGATATCCATGTTTTGAGTGGGATTCGAATGCACGATCCCAATGTTCGAGCGGGCGAAGACATTTCATGCCTTATACCGCGTGGCCACTGTGAATTGTCATTTTCACAATAACCTCTCCAAATTATTGTATGTTAATAAGATTTCTGAAATTGTCACAGATCGTTAAATAGCCCATGAGGAGCTCCTGATAACTAATTGTTTTACTGTGTAACCGGTTAAATTTCACCAGGACTGAAGACCTATACACGAAGTGATCATATTCTTACATGTTTAGTAGATGTAAGATCACGAATTTCCTTATTTGTCACTCTATAGGATCGGTAAGCTGGATATTTTGCTGCCGGTTTTATCAATAATTTGAATATTATTTCTGCTTTTATCCTCTATCATCACTCAAATATGATTGATACGGAAATTTAAACTTCTTTCAGCATTCAAAAATATCAATTTACCGAACGTTGAAACGCAGTTCGAGGGGATCTGAACTAGTTCATCTGTTGCAGCACCGGCCTGCGAGCTGGCCAGCTGGAAGAAACGGAATTAGATGGCTGGCAGGCTAAAGCATTGTTTTATCTTCAACCGTTTCAAATCGACTCTGGAGCCTTTAGCTTTTTCCTCAGTGGTAAAGCACCTCCATCTACAGGGTGAATCGTATAGAACCGGCCCGATGAATTTGCTAATAATTCCGCAGGTGATGCATATAACCGCTCACAATTACGACATAATAATCCGTGGGCCGTGCTGAGTCGAATGGTGTGCGCATGATCCGACAAGTGGCAGCCCTTATGCCGAAACGTGTCTGCAGTGCGCAGGCGACAGTCATGGAGTACACTGTTGAACAGCGAGTGTTTCTTGCCTACTTGAAAACGGCGGACATTTTCAACACCTGCTCTGATCACGGCACACAATCCAAGATAAGATATGTGTAAATTACTTTAATATCTGTATGGTATATTTTATATTACAGCTCATTTCGTCGGGCCGGTTCTATATGAATCACCCTGTAGTACTGACATGAGGAATGCATATATTCATACCTCCACTTCCCATATATCTCCATAGCTTAGAGCTTCAATAATTAATTAGTCACTTAGACAACAGTAAACTTACTTAACCTTGGCAGTATATATACTCAGAGGAGTCCAAAGTCGATGGCAATAACTTGCATTTACTGTCATATGGAACTTCATAGTTAGTTTAATTTGTCCCTCACTGAATCTGAGGCCTGATTATGTAGAATGGTTGTAAATTATTGTCGGGGTTTCCGTGGCTTATAATTCTCGAACCGGAAATAACAAAATAAATATTAAAATGTGGAATGTCAAATTGTAACTCAATAAGTTTTATCGTTTATAGAATCAATGCTTCAGAATTCTAAAAAAAAAAAAAGAAAAACTTCAACATGTGTAGCTTTATTTTGTTGTTTCCTGTTTGAGAATTATAGGCCACGGAAACACTGGCAATAATTAGAATCACCCTGTAGATCTCAGTATCCATCAATATTTACGACAGTGAGCATGGACTACGTGAGTATTGCAAAACTGTGTAGGCTTATGAACAACAAAAAAGGCCAGAACTAGAAAAATATTAATTAATTAATAACTTCATATTATGAGTGTGCGTGTATTTTTATTTGTGTTTTGTGTTTGGTTTGTGTGTTTACTTTTAAAAGAAAGATTATATTTTCAAATGTTTCCGATGTAGCCTTCAAGTATAATCGACAGTTCTTTGGAACCAAAATTAATATATATATATATATATCAATTTAGCTTTCCATATACTGTCTCTGTAAAAACACACCGAAACTCAGTTATAGTTATCAGGCAGTTAATTATGCTTAAGGGAAGTAGTTAACAACAATTTGAAACTTGTCTGAGGTATTGTGATTTATCATACTATTTATTGGAGACCTACGAATAATCAAGGCTTACCCTGAGTAAATATTTCAAAATTATCAGAATTCGTTCTATAATTGCAAGTGTAAGTTTTAAAGTTATCACGGCGCTGATTATGAACAATTTCATCTTCTGGGCAGACAGACATCTGCTCACGCTTATTCATTGTTCGAGGATTTTTATACTCTGAAGATTTGAGGCGATACGTTCATCCGAAACGTCGATTAAGAAAATATCTACACGGCGCCACATCCCAGAAGACGGCATTCTTTATAATTACGAGGTTTGACAATAAAGTTCGCGAACTCGCCAACGTGTGCTTGCCGTGGCGGCAGTGAAGAGAAACCTCAGTATGGTTTAATGACGTTGCCATATCAGCGTTTCACAGCTGTGTTGTTGATCTATGGCAGTCTCTTACTGGGTGGGTTGAGTGGCGTCTGTCAGCGTCTGAGTGAGTTTTGGTGTGCGCGACCTTGAATTAGAGCAATGTCTGTGAGGCAGTTTTTAGCTAGTAAACAAATAACATGGACCTAGCACCAGTGCCGCTTTTCTGGTCCCGAAGACAAAGGAAATGTTGAAAGAAACGCATTTTGATGATATTGATGACATCAGGACTAATACGACGACAGCTCTGAAGGCCATTCCACAAAACCGGTTCCAAAATGGTTTTGAACGGTGGACTGGACGCTGACATAGGTGCATAGCTTCCCAAGGGGAGTACTTTGAAGGCAAGCACAGTGATATACAGCAATGAGGTATGTAGCACTTTTACTGCAATGAGTTCTGGAACTTTATAACGGTTGTGTCCATAGCTCAGACCACATAGCTTCCATTGGTAGGATGAGAAATGAGAGAATTACAAAGGATATGGAGGGAAGAATTCATACCCTTTTCAATGTACCACCCCAGCATTTCGCTCGAATTAAAAAAGGGAAAGCACTAATACTCCAGTTAGGACAGTTCATGGCCCGACCGAGTTTCGACTCGGGCAGTAGTGTACAATTGTTCTTGGTGAATTATTTACCAGTATTCTTTTAGCGCGTACCACTTCATCAACAACAACACATGTGGTTCATGCATGTGGGGCACCACCTCATTTTCTTCTCATTGTCAGGCATCGCCTGAATCAGGCTTCCAGTAAACGGGATAGGATGCAGAGGCTTAGTCAACTGGCCTGCATTTTCTCCTGAGTTTAATCCTATGAATTTTTGGCTTTGGGGACACCTAAAATCTTTGGTGTATTCAGCGTCGATCAGTGACTTAGAAGGTATTATAGCAACGAGTAGAGAAAGCCTGTCAGGAAAATTGCTTGAAACCAGAGATTTTAGACAGATTGAACACATCTATGCGTGGGAGTGCTGAAAATTGTGTTGAAACGCATGGCAAATAAACAGAACATCTGCTATAGAAATCAAGCTAATATCGCCCATGTTTCAGCAGACACTGCTTTCTGCTCGTGTGTTGACAGGGAGCTTTTCGCGCATTCAACTGAATACTATACCCACTGTAACAGTTCTAAACAACATGTACAGGACATAGGAAGAAATAGAGACAAAAAGCAAATTTAAATCAAATTGGTCTCAAAAAGTTTTACTGTGTAATACAACAGGTCCGTCAATATTTTCGAGAAAGAAACCTTTGATCGGAAAGACAACGACCTCCCAATATTACGCGAGTCGTGAAAATGATTAGCAAAGATTCTGAACAAAAAAAAATGGGTTAGGAAATCCACTGCCGATGCCGTAGTTAGGCTAATTACATTTATTATATACAAAAATTTATAAATAAATCCCTGGGAAAGAAAGTCAATCCGAACTTCGCTTTGACTTGTCACGCACAGCTTGCAGTTCCCCGTAATCAATAATCCAAGTCATTAATAGCGCACTGATTATTTCTGCAGTATAAATTCTAAACCGCGTTTATTTTCACTTCAGTACACAAAAGCTATTGGCCCTCACACAACAGCAGCACATCCAAGTTAAGACGACATAATCTGCAAGCTATGAAGGGACTAAATATGTTTGATGAAGATGAAATTGCTCGAGAACGTTTCAGATTTTATTTTCTGATATTTAGAAATGTGGGCGTATCTTTAATTTCACGAAACAATTCGAAGGCTTACATGCTTTTTTCTGCAATTATGGTGTTCTGTGGTTACTCGATGTTGGTGGCAGTGATCCTAGATTTGTTGAAACACAAGGAAAACTTGCAACACACTATGCAGAATGTACATGCAGTCGCTGGAATTTTATGCACCTTATGGATACACCTTTGTTTCAGGTACAACGAAATAAATATTATTCTATTGAAATGAGTCTCCACTTTCCAGTAAAAGGAATTGTTATCCCTAAGATTTCATAGGTAGGACCATTCATGCTAATTGTGCCTGTAACGTGGAATCTATCTTGTGTACGAACACCTATAGAGGTTAATTCTTTCTTTTTAAACATGTTGCAAATTTCTATCAACTTTAACAAATATACAAAGACCATGTGTGTCCTTGTGTGATGCAGGAATTCTAACGCTGCTAATAATGTTTCTGATATCATTTAGTGTAGAATTCTCATCTTATTCACTTAACTGAAAATCCACGAATATGAACACCAAATTTCAACTGTAATTTAGTGTACAATTTTGTAACAAACATAATCGGAATTCGTCAAGTAATTTTGGCGATAAAAATGCCGTCGTAATTGGGTGATAGGCAACCATTCAATTCATCAGATGTCAGTGCCGACTTGTATCACATATGATCGAAATCCATTAAAGAAGTTTGAATTGAAGGAGGCACGAATAACAGAGCAGATTTCTTCTTTGGGGTGTGAAAGACACTCAGCTGCTCAATAAATTCCCTACATTTTAAGGAACCCGAAGTTTCTTTTACAAGGTCCAGACATGGCACCTTGCCCTTAAATCTGTCTACCAAAGAGTATATTTAATTTTATCCCCATGGAAAATGGTCTTATATTCCCGTTAGCTTTTTTCGCTTAGTGGGGGGTTGAGTCCAACTGGGTCCATTCGGCACGGCGGCCATTGATTGGCATATTGTAGCCTGCCCCGGGTGATTATGATGATGGAGAATTTGGTGGAATGAAGATTGGCAGGGGAAACCGAAGTACTCGAATAAAACCCGCCCCAGCGCCACTTTGTCAACCACAAATCCCACTTGACCAGACTCTGGAAGCCAGCGACTAACCGCCTGAGTTATGGCGCAGCCTTTTTCCCCTCCTCTTTGCTTTGGTATATTTGTATGCAGTTTCCTTGTTTCTCTCTCGTCAAATGTCTTGCCTTTTCACATTCTCCTTAGGTTGATTACCCCAGCAATATTCTGAAGCAGCTTTCTCCACATTCCTTTTACTTCTTCTGCTTTAGATACAAATGTTATCTCTATTAGGATTTCTGTCTCGAACACCTTCCAGTCTTTGTACTTGTCTCAAGGTGACAGATCATGATGCGCTCTCGTACATAGCAAAAGTATGTTTTATTATTGTTTCAGTCTTTAGATTTCAATCAGGAAATGGGAAGACAAAACGCAAATTTTGACCTTAAAGCTAGCAAGCATTTCCCATACTATTATGACAGACAGCTTAAAAACTTGAGCGCCAATGTAGTTATTGCGTGAAAGCAATTTTTCAAATAATAATAATAATACACATTTTTTTTTTGGCTGGAGAAGGATAGAATTGTGAAACTTATGACTTTAACAAACGCTTTCACTTGGGAGGACCTACCTACAACCAGCACTAAGGGTGAGACCACAATGGCTGCAATGATTCCTCGCATCCAGAAAACTGTAAAGCAAATGCTCATATCAGTGATGGCTTTTCATGGAAGCTACATAGTCGTTCGCCTCGTCAACAGTGAGCAACGTGTGTTGACGGCGAATTCGTTCTATCTCTTCGACGTATCCTCGAGCCCTGTTTACGAAGTTATTCTTCTAAGCCAGGTACATCACTGTGTCATAAGAAAATTCTGTCGAAAAATATACTTCGCGAAAAGGGAAACTAACAGATTCACAAATAATAACGTAGTGAAGATATTACACAATATTTGGAAACATAGCCTCCCCAAATAAATTACTATTATTATATTTGTAATGATCTTCTGCATACCGAATGACGACGGGGCTGTATCAATACAAATGTGGAAGAAATAACATTAATTCTTGTAACAGAATAGGGGTAACGTTCCCACCTCATGACTCAAGGTACGCGGGTTCAAACCCGACGGAGTTCGTGGAATTTTTAAGGGCGAAAAATCAGGGAACAAGTCCTCCGGGAGGGACTTTAAGCCGTGGGTCCCGTGTCGTAGCTTTATGGCACTTAAAAGATCCTCATGTCTCTAGGAGACCTCTGAGCAAAATTAGGCAAAGCTTCCCGCCCAAATAATTTCTAATGCCTCCGGTAGATGGGGAAGTACCACTGCCAGCCTCGCTGGCTGAACGGGGCTGATAGCGAGCACCAGTACCGGAAGGGTATGGCGACTGGTAGAATATCAAAGGGGGACGTACAATAGACTATTAGTCGCGGTGCATGGGGAAACCCACACCCTCCAATAATAATAAT